AGCACCCACCGCCACTCGTCAGCAGAAAGAGCACATCAACCATGGACCAGTTGACTTCACTAAACAAACTGGACATCTTCACCAAGATTGACCCGAGCTTTACGCGCACCTCCTCTGCCGGCGGCACTGGTAAAATAAAGCTTCACCGCATACGTTAACGGTTTTCACAAAACCCTTCTTTTACCCCACAATTCTAGTCTCCCTGCTCACCTACATTCTCATCGTCCTGCTCCTCTTTGGTGAGATTGCCAATTACCTCAACCCAGAAATTGAGTACCACTACTCGGTGGACACGGAGTTTGACAAGTGAGCGATGCATCGATCTGAAAAAGCACTTCATTAACCATTTTACTCCGAGCAGACTTCTGGACATCAACGTGGACATCACCGTGGCGACGCCATGCTCCAGTAAGCAGATTTATCTGAAAAGGAGGAAGATTGTTTAATCATTTCCTTTCTGTTTCCCATCATCAGACATTGGCGCCGATGTGATGGACGCAACGAACAAGCAGAGCCTCTACACCTACGGCCGACTGGAGGAGACGGAGGTGAACTTTGGCCTGAACGAGGAGCAGCAACGCCGCTGGGACCGCCTCCGCTCCTACAACGCCTTCCTCCGTGCCGAGCACCACAACGTCCACACGATGCTCTGGAAGCCCGGCTACCTGCAGACCGTCTACGGTGCTGGTGATGGCCAGAAAGGCCCTCACCATCACCATCACGACCTGACCTCGGTGCACCTTTTTCCCGACATGGACTCGAACGTTGGTGGTGGCGGCAGCGATTCGTGCCGCTTCTCGGGCACCATCTCCGTGAACAAGGTGGCGGGCAACCTGCACATCTCCGCGGGCAAGTACCTTCCGCTGCCCATTGGCCACGCACACGTCTCGCTGCTCGGCGGTGGAGGTAAGTTCACTGTTGTTGTTGTTGTTGTCGTCATTGCCATTTCGAAATTGGTTAACCTTCTTCTTCTCCTTCTTTCCTCTCCTCTTCAGCCGTCAACTACTCGCATCGCATCGAGCGGCTCTCCTTCGGCGACGACCTGCAGCTGCTGCGGCTGAGTCCGCTGGACGGCGTGGAGAAGGTGACCAGCTCGCCCACCGCCCTTTACCAGTACTACCTGAAGGTGGTGCGCACTGAGGTGCACACCGCCGCCC